CATAGCAAGATAATATATTAGGAAAATAAATTGAAGATAACAATAAATAATATTAAAGAAACATCTATAGCAAGTAATGACAAGACAATCTTTTTAGAGAAACTAAACCTGAGGTCTGATAGCAATAGAGAATATAAAAGGAGCACTGATAGTTAACTAAGGAAGTGTTGGTGACAAGTAATAACAGAACAAGATATGCGAAAGTAGCAAACACATGATAAAAGGGTACCATACAAATACTAACACTAATGAACTACTGAAGACAAAGGGAAATACACGACTATCTTCTAACCTTCTATCATAATCCTCAATCGCCACACTCTCTTATCCAGGGTCATGTCCTCGATTAGCTTAAGTTGCGCCATGTCCCGCCTGATTACCTCTCCCCAAGACTTTTTTGGCCTACATCTACCCTTCCTCTTACCCCACAAGTCCAACCTCTCACACCTCCTGACTGGGGCATCTGTGCTTCTTCTCTTAATATGCTCGAACCATCTCAGCCTCGCCTCTCGCATCTTTTCCTCCATAGGGGCCACTCACACCTTGTCCCGAATAACTTCTTTCCTAATTCTATCTAACCTAGTATGCCCACACATCCATATCAATATCCTTATTTCAGCTACTTTCATCTGCTGGACGTATGAGTTCTTAGCTGGCCAGCACTCTGCCCCATACAACATAGTCGGTCTAACCACTACCTTGTATAACTTGCCCTTAAGTTTTAACGGCACATTCTTATCGCACAAGACATCGGAAGCGAGCCTCCATTTCATCCACTATGCCGTACGATGTGTGACATCCTCATCAATCTCCCCATCATTCTGAATTATAGACCCAGATACTTGAAATTCTCTCTCCTAGGGATGACTTGTGTCTCAAACCTCACATGCCCGTTCACTTTCTGGGTAGCACCGCCGAACTTACACTCTAAGTTGTCATGATCATGCTGATGTAGACTCCAAGGTATGTCTCCAGACCTCAAGCCTCTCGTTAACACCATCGCACATCTCATCAATCAAGACTATGTCATCTACAAATAACATGCACCAAAGCACCTCCCCTTGAATATGTCGCGGCAATGCGTCCATTGCCAAGGAAAACAAAATAGGCTAAGTGTTGATCCCTGATGCAGCATCATCTCAAATGAGAAATACTCAGACTCTCCTCATGCTGTCCTAACCTGTTTTAGCTCCATCAGACATGTCCTGGATCATCCTAATATACACTACAATCACTTTCTTAACCTTCAAACATCTCCATAGGACCTCTCTCGGAACTTTGTCATAAGATTTCTCTAGGTCAATGAACACCATATGCAAATCCTTCTTCACTGCCCTATACTACTCCACCAATCTCCTCACAATATCGATGTCGACCGTCCCGACATGAAACTAAACTGGTTCTCAGAACTGGACACACTCCTCCCCATCCTCCATTCAATCACCCTCCCCAAACATTCATCGTATGGCTTAACAACTTGATACCCCTGTAGTTGTTACAGTTTTGGATACCCCCTTGATCTTGTACAATGGAATCATTATACTCTGCCTCAAGATAGTTAAACATGATACACATAAGATAGTTCAACACTTCAAGATAGTTAAACATGATATAAACAAGACAATTAGTGTATATAAAGACAAATGGAAGAATCAAAATAATATTTAAACTACATAAAGTACAGTTGGAAAAAGCACAAACAAAACAGATAAGGTACAAAGATAAAGGCATAAAGGAAAAAAATGTGAGGTACCACATATTGAAGAATTCAATCAACTTGAATAAACTAATAGATGCAGCCGTGGACATGGGAGACTATACATTAAAGTAACAAATAATGTGTCTCCTGTCCCACCCTCCAAGAAATAACACAGAAAAGAACAAATCAAACCCAATACAAAAAAATCAGGATCACAAACTATTGGGATTGAAACCCTAGACCACCAAAGGACTTTTTAATACCAAGAAGGAATAAACCAGATATGAGCCACATGCAAACAAAAAGAACCGCAAAAACACACACCTAACAGCTTGAAATAATTGATAGAGAAAGGGAGAAGTGAAAACCCTAACCAGCCAAGAACAAATTTGAAACCTCAAGTCCAATAAACAACATATTTGAAACCCTATGACAACTACACTTCAGTTCCATACAAGAAAGAGAAAAAACTAATAGAAGCATCAAGTTTTTTGAAATAATTCCTTACTTTTGGTTGAAATCGACACTGAAAGACGGTATTTTGTCTCTCTTTTTCTTTCATGGACTAAAAGGATCAACCAAATGAACGCCTCTATCCACATTTTACCAGGTTATTTCTATTTATTTAGTGGCCAAAAGGTTACAGGTTACGAGTTATTTGGGAGTGAAATAGGTCAATATAATTTGGGATTTGGGTCGTTATAAACAAGGCTAATTTTTAATGGAACACTGACTTGGATCCTATGTGGCAAAAATTTTGCAAGGTCAGGTGCCACATTGATCATCTGTTAGGGCTAGGAGTAGTTCCACTTTATTAACAATAGGGTAGGTATTAAATGTAAAGTGAAACGGAGAACAAACGTATATTATTTACAATAGTATATGGGTAATAATGAACTTTTTTCCCTTTTATCATCAAATCGTTGCACAATTATGGTCTAGGTTCTTTAGCATATTAACGTTGGGCTCATTCACTAGACTATAAGGTATTAGTTTAATTAGGGCATTTGCATCTAGATCCGCTTTTTGGGTCACGTTTTAAACTTTTCGTACGTGGAAATATTCACAAATTATTGTCTACTAATTTACGTAATTATTTATAATTTATTTTTAAATAATCTGATAAACATTATGGCAATCATCCTATGAACTGAAGTTTCATAGCAGCACCAACAACAACAGAAGAAAGAAGAAGAAGAAGAAGAAGAAGAAGAAGAAGAAGAAGAAGAAGAAGAAGAAGAAAACAAAGGAGGAGAAGGAGGAGGAGAAATGAGGTTGAAGTTATTTAAAAAGTGAGTACAAATTAAAATTTTTTTTAAAAAATAGGTATAAGTTAAATGGGGGCGACCAAATAGGACGCCCCGTGCAATTTTTACGTTTAATTGGATGATCTGATGGTCCACTCATTAAAGAGTACACGATAGTACATAACTATTTCCAAATTTAATTATTTTTTAAAAATAAAATCCAAAAATAATGGAATTTCAACTAAGGTACCCTTGGAAGCTAAGAAATATATAGCCTTTTGAATTATTTGAGTGTGCTTGGGGCGGTTCCCCACCATCACATGATTTCCAAATAGATGTTAAACATTTCACATGATTGCCAAATTGGATTTTAGGCAAAATAACATTATTGCTCCTTTGCCACCTACATAATAGAAGAAGACAAATTCAATAAGGTTTGTGCGGGAGAGGTAAATACTTATTTATCTTTAATTAGAGATTTTGGGTTCAAGCCTTAGAAATAAAATTATCTTTGTTAGAAATCGCTTTACCTCTGATGTGAGATTTTCAGGCTTTTTAGCTCAACAAAGAGGTGATTACTAATTTAGCAGAAATCCTAAGTTCAAGCCTTGATAAAAAAAGATACACTTTGATAGTAGAAGCATCTTCCTTTTTAACATACTTTATGCGATGAGAATACAAATTAATCGAGCCCCAAAATTTGGTAACAGACCCCAAGTGGAAAATAAAAAAATAAGAAAAATACCTTTGAGTTCTTTAATATATTTACTTTTTCCTCCCAAATCACATCACAGTTTTTTCATGCAGTAATTATTGATTTACCATATTGTACGCTGTCTTTATCCAATTTTCTTATGCAATGCAACTTGATTTTCTTAAAAACTTTTGCTTACTTATTTTCAAAGCCATAGTTGTTTCTACATTTTTGCCATTTCCATCCATCTTTTTTATAAAAAGGGGTATTTTTTTTAATTTATGCATGCCCTCGTCCTTACTAAAAGGTAAAAATTGATAAAATAGCAAAACATTACAGAAAGAACGAAAAAACACTGAAGATTGATTTGTTTTTTCTTAAGAAGATCTACTTTCGATAAGGAAACTTGAAAGAGAAATGAAAGATATATCTTCCTTTTCTGTGAAATTTCTTAGTCAATTTTAAAATGTTAAGCCTAAACTTTTGAAAGGTGGTCACTCAATTATAAGTACATTAACAAGGAAGGAAAGTTGCATTAACGTAGTTTCCAATTTAACTAAACTTTTGGTTGTTGATGATAGTAGTTGAGAATTACAAATCTATACTTAGATTTTCTAGCAACAGAATTTAATTCCTTCTTTTTTGGTTATAAGAGAAACAACCAAATTAGGAGAAAGGCTTTTAAATGCAATTCCGCAGATCACATAAATAAAATCTGATGACAAGTACTCTAATTGGAAAATGTTGATTTGCAATGGTCTCCTATGCTCCAACGACAAAACAGTAAAATAAAAAAAATAAAAAAGGAAAATGACATCTTTTTATATGAAGAAGCCTGTTAATTGCATAACATATTTGGATTGATTTGCGTAACTGTGGTAAAAACTATTGACTTATGTAATTTGCTACTAGTAATATATTCCAAGTCGGATAATTTAGATCTATATATATAAATTATGTAATTAACCAAAAATATATTCCAAGTCCACAGGACAAAACAGTTAAAAGAGAGAGCATGGCTTTTTTTTTTATATGCGCCGTAAAATTATTATTTTTTTAAAAATTAAAGTAAAATCAGGTCTATAGGGAAATAATTTTGAAGCAAAAGCGCCGTTATTTTGCTTATGTGTCTGCTAAATGCTGACAAATGATGAGTTGTGTGACACCAACTGATTCAGAAGGCAATTCACGTCCACACTCCAGGACAGAAAGAGAGAAACAGATATTGTTGCATTTCCTTCCTTCTCTCTAACCGAGAGAGA